GTTTCATTTGCTCAACTTTTTAAGTCCAGATCGATTCAGGTAAGAGTATTCTATTTCGTACCTGACGTGAGTTTTTCTATGCATTCTCTCTTTAGAGTTATGATTATGTTTTTAGTGATGCAACTGGTGTTCTAGGTTTTTGTGGTTTTCTCGTTAGGTCAACATAAATGATGGCAGGTCCTCTCCGTTCACATTCGCGTGCCTGTTTCAACAACATGACCATGTTTCGCCGCATGTTCAATCCGTGCAGAGCTTCTTTCACATTCTCGTTTAGTTTTTTTCTAGTGTATTGTGTGTTTTGTCCTACGTCGTTTTTGATCATGTTCATGTTCTGTTAAATCAACGTCCTTCCATGTTGTGCGGTGATTTTTCTTTCTATCTTCAATCCTGTTGTCGGCTTCTCCTTTTCGCGTTGATCCGAATTCGCAACGTGACTAACATGGACCAAACGTTGCTTTTCCTTTTCGACGAATTTTGCATAAATAAGCTGATCGCGACCGTGGCCTTACACATGAAGGTTATTAAGCCTCCACCGATTTTAGAAGCGCCATTTTTCATAGTTTCTCATGGAGATCAGATATAATGGATTGCGAATGTCGATTCTGCGTGGTCCTGTCGTTTTTTCCTTCGATTTGATCGTTTCATTCATGAGTTTTGCTGTGCAACCTTTCGTTCGCTAAATTGTTAAAAATGTACTGTAGATTGTTTCGGGTGTCATGTTCGTTATGCGCAGTTTGCAAGACATCCGTGATAGATATGATGCTGCCTGGTGCTTCTTAAGATATTTTGACTCTTGTTTGGTTTTACTGTTATTTAAAGCGCTACGTCTGAATTTTGCTTTCAGCGATATGGAATTGTTCACCCAAGAGTTCACTGATATTTCGAAGGAAGAGCAAATTGCAAAACTTCACTCAATGCTTGGCCCTCATATGTTGCGAAGGCTGAAATCAGACGTGTTGAAGGTGGGTGTGGGTGTTTTTTTCTTGAGGCTTATTATAGTTATTTGTTATACGAGTGCACTGTTTCTGCAAGGTTGTGCATTTGCTCTTTTAAGTCTCGATTCATGTAGACGAAATATCTTGTGTTCACCTCGTTTGGGTATTTTTACTGTAAAGCGTTTGTTGAATGTGTACCCGCAGATAGTTACCTAAAATTCAGCGCAGAAATTCTAAGGAAGAAAAGATTAGAAGGGAACACCGTCGGTAGTAGTCCCCAAATAAAACATGCTAAAATTTTGCCATCATGTCATCTACTTTCTGAATTGCGAATGCCTGCCTCATGTCTTTCAATAATAAACAAACAACTGTAAACAAAATAAAGTTTCTTATGTATAATGTGAACTAACTATATTTTTCAGAGCAGAGAAGCTGCATATAAATCTTTATTATTACGTAAGGTAATGTACGTGGTCTGTGGGAAGATACGCTGGTACTTGTCAGGGTACTCATTGCTGCGCTTGTGTAGATGACATGGTTGAAATTGTCTCATAGACCAGATTCAGTTTTGTAACATTGTGTCATTTGATTTCTTTCGTCGTCAAATACATTCTTTCCGTGTTTCAGTATTTTAGCAAGGTTATGCAGCAGAAAACTTCTTTCTGTTTTCAGCTCCAGTGTATGTACAGCGTACAAGAGACGATTATTGCTTAGTTGCTGTAGAAAACAAGTGGACACACTGAGACAGGAGGATTCACGAAGGTACTAATTAAGTGCGGCATCTCTGGTTTGCTGTACAGCTCCGTTCCTGTTTTCGGAATGATGAAGCTCCCTTTTGTAGTGGAAGTGCGCACAGGCTGGTAAATACGTAGGAAGTGGTGAGTTATTATATCTTACTATACCCGTTCAGTGAAGATGACAGAATTGTCATAAACGGTCTGCACATGTCTGTCTTAGGCACGAGACCTTACTGAAGCCCTACAGATTTTGCGACTGCCAAAATTCATAGCCACAGGAGCGCAAAATTCCCTCCCGTTAAGGCACCAAAATATGCTAAAGTAGTTTAAGTCATAACTGGTATTGTACAACACGTTGTAGACCATATTATCTTGTCGTTAAACACCTACTTTACATTTTTAATTACTGGATTAAATTACTTTCTTCTTTGACATGGTTGGCAAGACGGTGATTCTGCGTGCTTAGAGAAATAAAAACACTTTACCCACTTGTTCAAGATAATGATAAATTCGTGTTTAACCATTCTAGCTGTTTCTTTATATAACTCCTACGTTTTTCGAGATCTTCGTTGTTTCTACACCGATGAAAAGTCAAGCATCATGGTCTTAATGATTCATTTGCCTTTGTCCAACCACAAATCTGTGCATTTGCGTTAACTCAACATCGTTAGGTTCTGAAATCAGATTGTACAAGTTCCTGAGATATCTTGGGATTCTTTTATCACATGCACACATTGAAACCTTCCAGCATTCATTTGTCTTCCACTTTCTCATAGCTTCAAAAGAAATTTAATCAGGCAAAGGCTAGTTCCATTCTGTAAATAATAAAACGGTCTTCAAATATCGAATCAGCGCAAAATGAAGATAATAACGTTTACTTTCGAGTAACATTTCACGTCAGAAAGAAACTCAGTTCTCTAGCACAAGATCTTGCGCATTCTCTAAACACTTATTCAAAAACTGTGATGCTCAGTTCTGGGGTATCAGCAATATGGGTAGTACAGTATTACACAACTACTTTCCATGACGATAACCGTTGAAAAACCTAGGTGTTTATATAACTTAGCATAAGGTATTAGTCAAAGGGAAAAGAACCTTTGAAGAGGTCTTTCTCGATTGATAATTATCATAAGGAAACGTTCTGACCCGTCCGTCGAGTTGTCACTCGGTGTCTGGAATTTTTAGCGACTCAACTTGCTCAACTTATAGATATCTAACATGTGTGCTCACTCGGTCAGTTAGTCAATTTCTGTTGCCACTTATGCTTTCGAATCGCGGAGGTAGACGCATCGGACAGTGTCTCCAACTTTCTCAACCAAGTACCAGCGTTTCAGCTTCGGCAGAAGAGAAACCGAGTCTGGAGCAGTGTTTGTCGACAAACTTGCCCAAAGTTATTTTTGATTGTCCATGGGGTCTTCAGCCTTATGTATACTAATTACAAGCGCTAATTGTCATACTTAGTAGGTTAGTTACGTTTAGTTAGAAATGAACTCGACGACGTAGACCTGCTTGAAACTACTTGTAATATTATTTCCTGTTTTGAGTAGACTTCCTTGGCCTACTTTCAAATAATTTTACTTTTTTGCGTACAGGTGCAAAGTCGTTTAGTTTATCTACCTTGCTCACTGCATATATGCCTTCGTATGATTATGTTGGAACTGAACACGTCGAAGACCAAGATATACTTTAAACTACAACGAGTAGTCTGCTCTGAGTTTTACTGCCTACCAAATGTAAATCGACATATCCTATTAGCGAGCAGAAGGAAGTTTTACTCAGAACCACTAAGTATTTACTTATCATTAAATATACCGTTATATATTATTTGTATTTCATGTGCAGTAATCGCTGAGCTGAATTCTTTTATGCTAATTTGTTATATACAAGTTCTCCAATGTTTTGTATTATGCTCGATCCAAGGAGCGACTTTTTACTGATTCGATGTTACAGTATACGTCGATGCATTTGGGTAAAAGCTTCACTATGGAGGTTTTGTCCTCGATTGTGGAAGTTGCTTCACAACTTCGTTCCACTGCAGACTTAGTCTTTACCCAGTGCGTGCATGGACTATCTAGGAACACTGACACCACCTCTGGCAGAAAGATACATACCCTGTTGTTCAGAATGTACGTTTATTCGCCATTCCTATTTGTGAAAAATACAGGTGAAGCCCTTCCTGGACCACATTAACACCTTGTATCCGGGAGATATCGTATTCACGATGGAAGTGGAGCAAAACAACTCATTACCTTTCTTGGACGCACTCATCGCGAGAAAAGCGAAAAGTACGTCAAGGATGTTTCACAAGCCAGTACATGCCAACAGATTCCTGGTGCTAGATTCGACCACGCATACGGCTTGAATAGAAACATCCTCAACACTCTGGTTAGCTGATGTTTTGAGTTGAGCTCAGGCGATAGTGATATCTGAGGAGAGCTCGCCTACATCTGAAAAGCTGTTAAAAACCTAGCTAGACGACTGATAGAAGAAATAGTCAACAGTTAGCAAAGGAAGAGTACAAATGGAACAACTAAAAGTAAAAGCAGATAGCCAACACTAGCATTGTTTGTTTGTACAAAATCTAAGCGAAAATCTAACAGAGCAGCACTGTTAAATGCAATTGTGGAGAAAATGACCGCATATATGCATTAATATATGCACATCGTCATGCATATATTATGATTATGCATGTTACCTCGTTAGAAATTTGAAAAAACGCAGAAAGGGTTTGCGCGTTGCGATGTCTGACATTGTATCTAATCAAGTTATTAAGTTGCACCACACCATTGCATAATTTTACCACCATTTATTCACAATTCAACGACATGTTGTTCTTGGCTGGTTTCCCTTCTTGATCAAGGAATTTCAAATCAGACGATCAGATTTGACTTCTTATCTACCCCTACCACTATCCAACACGGCGTTTCAAATAGGTCAGGCATAGGCAGCTTGGACAATTCTGCTAATCAGTCTCTGCTTTCGATGACGATGATAAACGGATTGAACTGTTAGAAGTTTTTATGTATTCAGTACTCTGGTTTGGTGCATTCAACTAGAAGGTATACTGGCAGTTTAGGATTCAAGAATGTAGGTATGAAATGCGTTGGTGTGCCTTCCTACAGCAAGTTGTTCTGTCTTTCTTATGCGAACATTTAATTTTCAGATGGCTAGATTGAGATACGGGGTCTTCAAGCCACTTCTGACAGGTATCAGCTAGACTCTGCCTAGTTTTGGTTATACATACTTTGTAGAATTTTATTCTTCAATTTTTTTAGAACATTCCCGCGAAAAGCGAGTTGATCGTGCGTGTGGAACTGAGTCACATGCAAAAGTGAGCAAGGCGATGACGAAGGCGACTTCATCTGATGTACTCTGATCGGTGGTGCTGTTTCAGGAAGTACTACAAGTTCGTGCTGACAAAAAACTTTGAGGCGTTGAATACGAAAAGCGGAGGCTCCCAGGTCTCGCTGCTGAACATAATGATGGATCTTAAGAAATGCTGCAATCATCCGTACTTGTTTCCAATTGCGGCCCAAGAGGCACCGAAGCTGATGAATGGTGCCTTTGAAGGCTCTGGTTTGGTGAAGTCGTGCGGCAAACTGACGTTGCTACAGAAGATGCTACGCAATCTGTTCAACACCGGCCATCGTGTGCTCATCTTCTCGCAAATGACCAGAATGCTCGACCTGCTCGAAGACTTTCTGGACTACGAGGGCTTCAAATATGAGCGCATCGACGGTTCAGTGACCGGCGCCATGCGACAGGACGCTATCGACAGATTTAACGGTTTGTTGATCTCAAACGACGGAGAGTCAGAGTAGTCTAGTTATCATATGATTTGTTTGATTCAGCTGCGAACGCCCAGCAGTTCGTATTCTTGCTCTCGACGCGTGCTGGCGGCCTCGGCATCAACTTGGCCAGCGCCGACACGGTGATCATCTACGATTCGGACTGGAACCCTCACAACGATATTCAGGCGTTCAGCCGGGCGCATCGAATTGGTCAGAACAAAAAAGTCATGATCTATCGATTCGTGACGAGGAATTCGGTCGAAGAGAGAATCACGACGGTACGTTTTTCTTAAGACGCAGTTGTTGTTGTGACTTCACTGTGGGTTGATTCATTTGTCATGTTGGCCTTCTTTGCACCATGGTTTCCGTTCTTGTAGGTCGCCAAAAAGAAGATGATGCTCACTCATCTAGTGGTTCGTGCTGGCATTGGAAACCGAGGCCCGTCGATGTCCAAACAAGAACTTGACGAAGTGCTGCGTTGGGGCACCGAAGAGTTGTTCAAAGAAGACGAGGATGAGGACAGCAACGACAACCAGATCATCTGGAACGACAAGGCGGTAGAAGCGTTGCTCGATCGATCGCAGGTGGGCATCGAAGAGAAAGAGAACTGGGCGAACGAGTATCTGAGCAGTTTCAAAGTCGCTCAGTACGTTGTCAAGCAAAACGACGATGAGGACGAGGAAGTAGGTGCCATTTGTTCATGAGTGTCGTACGCGGATAATTAATACCGTACTGCTTCAGGACGAAAACACCGAAGTACTCAAGGCCGAGGTGCAGGAGGCGGATCCAGATTACTGGGAGAAACTTTTG